TGAACGAGATAAGTTCTGGAATAAACGGGGAAAGTTCCCTCCTTGCGGAGGCCAACAATCTCCAAACAAGCTCTCCCCCCAGTGTGCAAGATACATTTGTGTTGATCCAGAGGCTGGAACAAAGTACCAATTAAGACCGACTATACCATCAAACGACATTTTAAAACAGGTTCTAACCCCTCTGCGGATACTCAGGCGGTACTGGATCTGCAGAGAAAGAAGTACGCCGACACGTCATCCATTACTCAGATGGCTCTGTAGCCCAGGCAAGGGTGGGCATCGGCATCTCCGGTGATCACCTAAAAGAATGTCACAGGCTCCCGGATTAATGTTCCATCTACTGCCGCGGCATTCATTGCAGTCACCACCCCTGACGTCAGACCAATCGCGCTGTTTATTGACTCTGCCAGCGTAGTCACAGCACTCGCATCCACGACCAGCAGACACCCTTGGATTCCAAGGCTATCGAAGAGTACGCACCATCCAGCACGGTATTTATCTGGGTACCTGGCTACTGTGGAGTCAAGGGGAATGAATAAGCTGATCACCTCGCCGGGTCTGAAGAAGTGGGTCACCAAGACCATAGACTAATTCCAGAGACGAGACTGGCGCGCCGGAAGTACGCTCTTCATTCGAAGGGTTAAAGGGGACACCGTCAGGTGGGAGGACCCATCCCTCCACCATGAACAAGTCGTTCTATCGCCACACAACTACAAGGGGGACGGACCCTTCCGGAGGATCTGCGATCACTGAAGCATCCAACAAACCGTCGAGCACTTCATTTGCGTCTCTCCTAAATATGAATCAACCTTCAAGAAGCTAAGACATCTCCGGCAGCATCCGGGATTTCCTCTCCGATGACCCCGTCTGAACCGCTACACTGTTCATCTTTCTGAAGGTTAGGTTAGGTTATCTTTAATAGCGATACTTTCAGCCAGAGGCTGGTTCATCTCTTATCTTTCTGAAGGAAACCGGGCTTTTTGACATGATGTTAACAATTACTCGACCCACGCAATTCTCAAAGACCAGCTCCAACTACCTGCATACACCACAAAACGTTCCAACCTCCAACCCTGATGTCAATCCAAATTGAAATCCACCTTGAGGTAACGCAGATGTACCACACCAGTTTATTTTAATATGTTCTTTAATTTTTATTGTACTGATCTGTGTTTAATTTAACAGTGTTATTTCACAAACTCTTTCGTAGTATTTACAAACCTTTTGGGCTTCTCTTCTGGAGTTCCCAAGGCGAACCAGCCGATTACCTTGTAAAAGAAAAAAATAAATAAACCACATCACGCTATTTGCAGCGAATTGGCAATAATTTTCAATCACTGACCTCTTCGCAACTGGAATATAACTAAAATATTTCCTTTACACCTAGAGAACTGCATTTTTTCAGGTGAACAGTAAACATTTTGAATTTAAATCTTTCATCAAAACAGAAATTTATGACAATTTCTAAAATGTCTATAACACAAAAAAATTGAGGGAGAGTATTTTTTAACAAACATTTACTAAAGCTACTTAGTATATTTTCAGTATACAAACTCTTTACTCTAGTGATGGTTTATTATACTGGATGAACATGACAACAATTTTGAAATTGGTATTTATTCTGTGTACTCAAATTACAATGTCTGCTCTATAAAAATTAAGATTGTTAATATTTAAAAATAAAGAGGAAAATTATTTGGATTCCAGTAAAACCTGTATTTTAGTTAAAAATCTGTATATTTGTATGTACAGATTCTTGGTTCTGAAATCATGCAGAAAATCTGTAAAATACAGAATAATCTGTATATGTAGCAACCTTACTTACCCCCTATTTCCGAATTGGAAACATTGGTTCCATATTGTAGTTTAGGGTATTTCCCTTGATATCGTATATAGTTTTTATGTAATATGTGTTACATGTTTTCCAAACATAATATAAACTATTATCTTACTTTGCCTATATGTTTAGTATTACTTCTGCGTGAAGTCAACGATATACATAGTTGAAGATGCTAATTTCAAATAACAGACTAAAGTGGTAATTTTTATACGATAGATGGAGGAGATGAAAGTCCAGAGTTGATAGTTCCGTTAGAGTACGGCAGTGTGAAAATTGCATATAGATAGTAGATAGCGAGCTAGGACAACTTTTAAGGAAGGTACAAATCGGTTTTTTCCATCTCTCTTTACCAAACTCCCCCTTTGGAGAGGGATGGTGAGGGGTGTACCGTGGTAGGGGTAAACAATAGCTGCAATTTCCAAACCTACGACTGGATGCCTTCCTTCAAATAACAACTGAAGTGCGGTAAAAATCGGTAGAACTGTTTCAAACACATCGTTGGTACTTGAGCAGGTCGGCGTTCATCTCTTTTTGCCAGTGGTGGCGGGGGGGGGGGGAGGGGTGGATGACACCCCTCACCAGTGTTGGCAAAATCATCAATCAATTGATATTTTTCTGCTCTCATGGGCTCGCAATATCACGCGTGATATTGGAAAAAAATATCATGCTTGATATTGATTTTACAAGCTCCTTCGATATTGCGAGACTTTAAAACGCGCAAAAATCAAGCTAAGAGCTGACTCGACACAAACATGATTACGTTCCACATCTTTTTCTTAGAAAGAGAAAGTATAGACTCCTATCTCTTTTTAACCTTCACCGATGGCAGCCACGAAGGGACTGCTGCCAGCCGTTATGGAAGTTTCGGTTCCATTCGGGTGTAAAGCAAAAATCATGAAACTCAATCTCACCACAGTTTGGTGAGATTTGCAGTTGGTGAGTTTTGTTAGATTGATATTCCGAGCTGCGATATCACAGCTTGCAAAATCAGCAACAGATGTTTGCTTGTTGATTTTCGTCTACGAAAATCAAGCGTGATCTTAGGCATTGGTGAGATTTGATTTTTTGATATTTTTCCAACACTGCCCCTCACCATCCCTCTCCAAAGCGAAAGTTTGGTAAAGAGAGATGGAAAAAACCGATTTGTACCTTCCTTAAAAGTTGTCCTAGCTCGCTATCTACTATCTTTATGCAATTTTTACACTGCCGTACTCTAACGGAACTATCAACTCTAGACTTTCATCTCCTCCATTTATCGTATAAAAATTACCACTTTAGTCTGTTATTTGAAATTAGCATCTTCAACTATATAATCTATTTTCTTTTTTTTCGCCTGTTTCACTTATGACATGTGTATCCGATACAGTCATCACAAATTCTATGTTGTCTTCTCATTGCTTATGATGTTTTTTGATTATATATTCCATTAAACATAATATAAACATGATATATTCCGTTAAACATAGTACTAACGAATTGACTTTAGAATCCTCATAACTTGTTTTAACGAAATAAAATTTGAAAAACACTCATTGCTGTAAAACATGTTTATAATATACTTAAAAAACTGTCAATGTTACCCCATTTATCGGTACTGTAGAAACTTGCTAATACATAGCCGCCCCTTAAAGTGTCAACTGTTTTGTCATTTAGACTTTTGCACTGTTTAATTTTCGGTATATTTAAAATTAATAATTGCGTGAATGTATAACTACCCATTTTGAGATTATGTTTATCAATGTGCAGGTTGTGCATGGTAATTTTATGGTGTAAATATAACTAAATTCATCATGAAGAGAAGCAATTAGTTAAGTGAAATATGTTGGGCCTCCCTTAGCTCAGTCGGTAAAGGCGCAGCTACAAAGCAGGACCATGCTGGAGGTGGCTGGGTTCGATTCCCGGACCGGTCTAGGAATTTTTCGTGTTGGAAAATGTCTCAACTTCCCTGGGCATAGAGTAAGATTGCACTTGCCACACAATTATAAGAATGCAAAAATGGTACAGGCATCGAAAGCTCTCAATTAATAACTGTGGAAATGCATCTAGATAGAACACTAAGTTGAGAGCACGGAATAAGCTAATATGCGATATGCAATAAGCTTGAAATGCGAAGAAGCAGAAGAAGATTGTTCATCATTACGTGATCACCCCAATCTTAGAAGTTTATCTTTAAAATTGAGAGAAAGTTTGATCAACTATGGAACATTAGTTTGTTCAAAAGCCCTGAAAATGTCATAAGAACTAATTGGTAAACGAAAGAGATACAACGGTTTTAGTGATTTTAGCTGGTTCTATTGTTCGGCCACGCACTGTATAGCCAAACAGAGAATTTGGGTTGGGGGCTTATAGTTTACGTACGATACGGTGATTTTGCACAATTTTCAACAGACTGAAACTGCAGTGTATAACGTTAAGGTGCTTCATTAGCCTTCGAGTACTCTACAATTTGTCTCGTTAATCTAAACCAATTAGTTGAGAAAGCAGATCCCAATAACCTTGACCAATTTGAAGCCGGCCGTAACAGAAAGGAACTCGCAAAGATCAACAAAACTGTCAGGAACGGAAAGCCCCCCACACCCGTTCACGGCCCTGAACTAGGTTATTGTAGCAATAACCTTCAGCAAACTCCATTCTTGAGTCGTTCGTAAGCTTGACTTACCTATTCCAATTTATTGTAAAGATCGGTGCAAAACGAACGAAGAAGAAAGTGTGGAATGGGGAAGAATCTACTCCATGCCGGTTATAAACCAACCTGAACAAAGTCGATTAACTTGGGTGTCCCGACCTTCCCCAACAAAATTCCACTCCCCGCTCGTTCGATCATCCCGGAATGAATATGGTCTTCCGCCGCTTATTTTCTTCAGTTTCTGTGATTCGTCTGTTCGTGTGTTTAATAACTGAGCCACTCTAATGCTATTATTATGTCTACCATTCGCCGCTTTCGATCGATGCACTTCATTTTGGAGTGACTGGGTGGTGATCGATCAAAAGAGGAGCGAGAGACGCCCGGATCTAACGGACTTCGCGCACGACTGGCTGGAGGCGATTCCGATACGCCTCTTTTTTACAGTTTTGATTTCAGTTTTTTCCACTGGATAGCAATCTTTAGCTAACCGTTTAGATAACTATTAACGTTCGATTATCTCTCATTGTTTTACAGGTTACACAGATGTTCGGTGATCGGCAGGAGTTGATCCTCCCGCTGGTGTATGACATAGCAAATATGATCCGGTCGGTGGCAAAGCAAGAGAGCTTATTGGATCAGCAGTTCCCCACAGAGGAGGAGGAACTCGTTCCCACAAATCAACTGTTGAGGAGGAGTTTTTCGGTTCGATCGGAGCCGTCTGGGTTCAAAATGAATATGGTTGATTCGGCGGATTCCAATTTGAAAGATGATCGCTTGATGGTGGATCTGAATGATGACGAAGCGAAAACGGTCGCAGGTGGTGATGATGGACCGGAGGCTCGGTCCATGTCCCATAGCCCACCGGTGTTTGAGAAGTTGGTTCAGTCCAGGCCACGGTACAACATGCAGATGACTAGGACTAAGGACAAAACTGATGAGCGAATGTCATACCACGAGATGAAGCTCAACATGACGGCCTTCAATTCAACAAAGAATCAGAAAGATCAACTGGCAATGCCATCGGATGGGCCAATTCCGGTCACCCTGACAAAAGCGGGATCTTCTACTGGGGCTCAGAAAGTTAAGATGACTGCCGCTCCGCCTACCGAAGAGCCGGAAGTGGAAAGTACAACTCTCACGATGGAACAGATTGAAGATTTGGCTTTATCTGGGCTGAATGGCACGGAACTGGATGCCGTTGAGACCAGTTTGGGTCATGGGAATGGATCCGGTCCAGTGGCCGAGATGTTGATTGGTGGCTACCGAAATCGACTGAATATGATTCACATGCTGTTGCCAACCGAGAGGTGTGACCACTTTTCCACGGGAGTGTGCATCCGAGTGGAGAACTATCCGTCGTAAGTATTCCTGTAATTACTAAAATTTATTATATTCCCACAGAACTTTCTAAGGCCTGCCATTACAATCGTAATCATCAACCATCGCTTTCGTCTGTTTCCCGTCTTGAGCGAAAATGGAAATTGGCAAATCAATTGACTTCGACGCTAACCTACTCACTTTCACACTTTTTAACGCCAGTTTCGCGTTTCGACAACTTAATTTCTAAAAACATCTACTTTAATGGTGAATCAATCGATAAAGCCGCAACAGTTGCTTGAGAATCCATACATATTGAACAGAAAAAATAATAAAATGCGCGTGCTTACTTTCACCATTTGTATCGGAGACCGAGTGCACGCACCGTTACGATTCACGATCAACGAAATGAAAGGAAAAGTGAACTTGGGAGGAAGTCACCGCATCACCGTAACCGTAACCGAAACCCACCGCAACGCAAAGCAACACCTTTCCTGACTGAGACATGCAGCGGCTATTATGTTGCCGTAATTGAGACGTACAAGTGTTAAATAATTGGAGATTTTCTTGCATATGTTAGCGTCTATTATTAACTACTGGGTGATCGAGGCATTGAGAGTGCTCTCAGCTAACTCGCTGTGGAATTCAATATTTGACGTATGTATTACCTACCGACGGCAATTGTTTGTGTTTCGAGGGGTAACGTTAGATTTGGAACGTGTGCGCGAGAAGAAAGGAGGTGGTGTTTTTCACAGTTTTTCTCACTCGCGATTACCATAAACGCGCATGGTTGATGGGTTGTTTCCGGCTCGGAACATCTGTTCCCGGATGTGGATCACGAAAATTAGTTGATGGGTGTAATTCACTCAGCACAGTAATACCACAGACAAATAGACATATCACTCACATGTTGTTCGTCGATCGCGCATTTAATGGTCAATTTAGATTTTTCCGCCTGTGGCGCACATAGTCTTATGTTTGACACACTACCGCCAGCGTACTCCACGTCACAGTGTACTCAAGAGATGTCGGTAGTGTTTTCGCGACGATGTTTTACAGTGAAAAATATTCAATGCGGTTTGTCTGTTTGTCTGTGGTAATACAGTTTCCTATTCGAGAGATTTCTTGTGAAGATTATTATGCGCGTGCAATGAAGTGATCTTGAACAGTTGTCTGCCGTTTGAATTTTTAGTCATATAGTGGAAATGGCACTAATGATGCTCTATCGATATAAATATTTCTATCGATAAGAATCTATAGTTTTTCAATTTCTTAGAATTAGTCGATGCCTGGACGATTTTTTTTTCTTTTTTTATTTGTTGCCGGTCTTTGATCCACTTACGAGTGCCTATCACCGACTCGAGAGAGATGAATTTACACCTGATCCCTAGATTTCAAACCCACCAACACATAGGCCCGGACGAACGGGTTAACTTCCCTTCCGAAAGAAGACGTGACCAGAGATTTTTCGCTTTAGAATATCCTAACGAACTCGACTGAGATTGAATCCATACCCATTGGCGGGAAAAAGCCGTCAAATATCTGGACCTGGTACCTTAACCCTTATTTCTAGTATATTTTGAAGACGATACACTTGCTTCTCCTGTTCAATAAAAAGTGTAATTCTAATATCTATACAGCAAAAAATAAATTTTAATATAACATCCAAGAGGATGCACTTCAATTATGTCGAAAATCTCATGTAATTTTTATGGCCACAAAAATAAACAAATGCAGTAAAAGCAGCGTTATCTCAGTTAACGCACTGTATTAATGATAATTTGATTCTATTTGGCAAATAATATTACACCATATTTTTAACACGATTGAAGTGCATCCACCTTGATGTGATATCAAAATTAATTGTTTGCTGTGTAGGTCTTCATTGTCAAATCCATAGCCATCTTGCTTGCTCTTCAATCCGATTCACTTTGCATTGCAATCGAATTTCGAAGCATCTTTTCATGCAACCTGAAAATGATTGATCATTTCAAAATCCGATTCGCCATTTCCTGCATCGGACACTTACAAAAAATAAGCAGCAAGCTAATGCATAGCCCACACTAATCAAACAACCGTAAAAAAAAGCACCATGATCCGATAAAAGTCCCCGCGTAAGTGCTGCAAATCGCAATCATTACCTAACCGATGTAAGATTAAGATATGAGCGTGCAACTATACGGTGCAACTTTGTTCATTCCACACACATCATCTTCAATGGGCCATTGTGCCGACTGCCGGGCAGATGAAGGAGGAGATGCGTGGAGGATTTCCGTTTTGGAAATGATGGGCACGAACGCGTTGAAATCATTGATTGATCTCACACGTCTCAATCATGTGTAGGTAGGTACAATCGAACACTACTGTAACACTAATGGCGAATCAATCTCACTGGTTAGAGATTCACATGATAGTCCGGAGATGTGTAATGACGCGGAGGGCAGCTGCCTGTGTGTTGTAACTTTAATTGTCCGATTTTCCACTGGGTAATTATCCGCTGACTAGTGCGATTGCGTGACTCATCCGGGAGGTTTACAGGATTGTTTCGATGGCCGAGAACTTTCCCTTTACGTCAGACGTGTTTTGGAATTTGTGAAGAGTAAATAGTAATTAAGTTTCTACTTGTATTCAAACAGGCCTCAAATTATGAACAGCATTCAGCGTCACAAGCGAGCCATGGGGGCCCTCCTAGCAGAGTACACCGACAAGAGCAATGAATTCGACAAGAATGCCTATGAACTGGAGGATATCGAAAGGGGAATCAACACCAAACTGACGTAGGCTAATCATGGTTTGTTTTCTTTATGTTGCCAATGTAACAAATATATGTTGTTTTCAGGAAACGTTCGGACGACCCATCCAAGTCCGGTGGTGGTATGTGCCCGAGCATTATCCGCTACGCACGGCCTCAGAAGGCTCGATCGGCCACTGGCGAATGGAAGTACATCGTCAACACCGGAGAACACACGCAAACGCTTCGATTGGAAAAGTGCACGTGAGTTGGTTGTGCTTAGAGCACATGTTTTGCTATTACATCTAATTAGCTCCTACATATGAAAATGAGGATAGTTTGCTAGGAAAGCGGAACCATTGTTTTTCAGGCTGACATTGATTTGCACCAATTAGGGGTTTTAGGGATTTTGAACTCTGGTGATCAGTTCCAATCACTGCGCTTGGATGTCGTAACTAGCATTGGCTTGTATTTGTATGAAAGGTCAATGTATGGTATATTGAGGTTTTACGTCATAAAAATTAAAACATTCTCTGATGTGTGACATGAACCGCTCTCTTTTTAAATTCCACGTATCTGATATCCAGTGAAGCAGAATTTGATTAACATTTAAAATTGTTAAAACCTTACGAATGTTGACGTCCATACTGAAATTTAAATATGAAGATTGAGAGAAGGATTCGTTGTTTCCATTTAATTCAACTACATTAATTGTTTATTCTTGTATTTTAAAGTTAAACACCATGAACCTTGTTAAAATGATCCATAGTAATACATTTACAATTTTTATTTAAGAAATAAATGTCTAAAATGTCTAGACTCTTTTTTCTATATAACCCAGACAAAGCAAAGCTTTTTTTATGATTTTAAAGCATATTTTTCTAGCAAATAAGTCGTTTATTATGCATAAACATATTTTTTTTTCCTGTAAATGTGGAGGCTATTTAAGTGAAAATTAAAAATATCTTAGTAATAAAGACAAAAGGATGAAGAAAAAAGGTCGGAAATAACAGAGGGTCGAAGGAATAAAACGTCGATGCGAAAATAGTCCATTCATAAAAAAATCAATGAAAAAAAGATCGAAGGAACAGTAAAATGGGTGTAAACATTCATACCATGAGTTCTGACGGACTTTGTATGGTAGCTTTTGAACTGAAGTGTACCAAACGTATGATGAACTTGCCCAACAAAAAAATTTAGCCGTAGACTAGCTTATACAGGCAAAAATTAACTGTATTGGGTAGAGCGCTACTTCGTCGTAATCGCCCATTTCCGTTCTATCGATCAGAAAAGATCAATAATATCAATGATTTCAGCGTGCACAAATCAATAATAGGTATGTTCCGAAACGTAAGTTTATTAGCTACAACATAAATCCTACTAGAGCGCATTGTATGAATATTTGCGCTAATTTTTCTCAAAACAAAAGAAGCGCTCCTAGCGAATTACCTTTTTCTACATTTATCCGTAGGACGAAGAAAATCTAATGGCGTTTCAATGCGTTAGGAAGGAATTGAAACTCGTAGAACGAATTTAGAATAAAGAAGCAGTATTAGATTTCTAACAATATCTCAAAAATGAGTGACACTTTATCAAATCCAACGGTACGTATGGAAAGGGGAATAAATTTAACAGTCATCGTTGACATAAATATTCCAATTTTTGTTCAAACCCGTTCAAAACAGAGAGGCAAAGCGCGGGTTGTGCTTAGTAGGACGGAAATTAGATCAAAAACCCTACTTTACGATTCTGTCAGTGCATTGTTCTAATATTTTTGATTGCCTGGGAAATCAATCGTCAATTGAAATAGCACCACCAAGCATTGAACATCGTTTCCTCTATTTTTATCAAATGTACCCGTACGAAAATATGAACGGTACTCATGAGTGCAACACAATTGTAAAAATGTACCACTAAATATCTAATGAATGAGCATTGAAATTGTAAGAATTACCCATACACATATTGCATATGATCCATAAAACATTCAGTAATGAACCTTAAACTAATGAAAGTGATCCATAGAAAATAAAGTTTGCGCTCTTAAAAATATAGGCATGATCTATAAATTATACATATAAGGGAAAAGGCTCTATTGTTGGCCTATGGATTGGGACCACCGCTAAAAATCTGCTATTAATCAATTTTATCTAGATGAACGCGTCATTGGGACGGTACTTATGTATATTTCTGGTCGCTATTGAAAATTTAGTCGATTGCTGAATTTATGTTTGGGCTCAAATTAGGGGCATTTAGCCCGACATTACATCCATTTCTCCTACTGTTCATGTTTTGGACTCTATCTTTCTTATTTTGTTCCATAAACCATGAAATGGTGTTCCATTGTTTTTTGAGTTTGAGTTTTTGAGCGACGGGTAAGCGTCTAGAATTAGCTTCCATAAAAAGTTTCTACAATAATCTTCTTAACACTCTTAACACGATGCTTATGGTCAACTGTGTAACGGTAAACTTTTAATGTTTGAAAAATCATAGCTCATCTATTTATCAACGAATTTCAAATCTTAACTTAAGACTTTAAACATTTATTCGGTATTTCTTAGTATTGATTTTTCAAACATTACCAATTTGCCGTAACATATTTTACCGGTAGCATCGTTTTCAGAGTGTTAAGAAGCATCCCAAGGAATATTTTTTCTAGATGCTCGCCCATCTCTTCTCACAAAAAAAAAAAAAAAAAAAAAATCACGGGCAGAACAGTAAATCAGAGTTACTACGCAGTAATGGGACAATTTTCCAAGGCTAATAGATCAAAAAAAAAAAAAAAAGAATAGTGTCCAAAACATGAACAATATATGTCTAATTTATAGATCGTGCCTATATTTTTAAGTGCGCAAGCTTGATTTTCTATGGATCACTTTCATTAGTTTAAGGTTCATTGCTGAATGTTTTATGGATCATTTGAAATATGTTTATGTAATTATGTAATTCATGCAATGCTCATTCTTTAGAAATTTAGCGGTACATTTTTACAATTGTGTTTCTAAATTTTACATAAATTATGGATCATATTGATATTTTTTAAAGGATCATTCACATTTTTTAAAACATTTCCTGCGGCGATTCATGGATCATTTGGATGTTTTTTAAGGAACGTTTTTCAATATTGTATGGATCGTTTTATCAATTCTAAAGGTGCATACTTAGGGCTGCCGACACAAACGGGTGGATCGCTGTGTCATATTTTGGCCACGATGTACCGAAGAACCTTATGCGTAAGGACCCCATTATATATAGATGCTGCTTGACATCAACCTGGTCTATACAAGGTGTGGAGATCTAGTCCTCCCGTATGTATTGGTAGAGGGAAAAATGAAAATATTGCGGGAGAGGCTGGTCACGACGTCATAACGCTCGAAAGCAAATTTGCGAAATATGAAGTACATCAAATCCTTGCTATGTTTGCATGATGATTGTGCTCGACTGTATTCTTTTGTTAATTCTCCGGGAAATATCAGCTGGCGTTTTGGATTTTTATAATCTTGAAAACGGGGACAAACTCACCGGCATGCGGTTTTTTCGTGGTATTCAGTTTGATAATATAATAGTCGATAAATTATCTTAACCTTTTTTTTATTTTATTATAGTCACTTTAACGCTCTTGGGTCATTCGTGACTTGTCCGGGGGTGATATTTGAACTCGAGACTTTGGCGTGAGAGGTATGGATGGAAACCACTACGCCCGTGTCGCCCCCAATCTTAACATTCATTGGAAGAACAATCATAAATTTTGGTTTCAAACAGAAATTCTATAATTCATATTAAATTTCCCTTGCAAAACGCTGATTGAAACAAATGTTGTGACGTCACTACGAGTGTGTTTTAGCGTTCGAAATAAGCGAATCGTGTGAAGCCGAATGGAAGCCGAGTGAAAAACGGACTACACCAAGACATAAAGCCCATAAATTCCACACCTTGTATATACCAGTTGGCTTGACATGGAGACGGCTCTAATCGAAGCTGAATGCATGTGGCTACCGATCGTTTACGTTAGGCCCGAAGTGGATAATGCTACCGCTAATCGAATATCGTAATATCGGGTGAGATGACGCTGGACGAGGAGGAGACGACGCATATCATCTATCCGGCGGTGGATCCTCTGCAGGAAGATTATGCAAGGCCTACATTCCACAGGGATAAGCATGTGATGATTCATTGGTATTACTTCCCGGATTCATACGATATCTGGGCACCGAATACATTTGATATGTTTTCAACACTACAAACATAGAAATACCTAATCTTACACGTGACGGAATCCATCTTTGACATAAAGGATGAGACGAAAACAAACATATCGTGTAAAATTAAGTGCTCCGAGACTGAAAATTTCGAAAGTACGTTTGATTGAGCTGAATTTCACGTCTATTATGACTCAATTTTATGTCAAATTTGACGCTATGTCAGTCTCAGAGCACCTAAATTTACATTAATTTTTCTAAGTGTGTATAAAGAACTTCGATAGTTCAAAGTCATCGAATCGAAGTTAACCTCAAGCAGAACGTCACGATGCAGTAGAGAATGGTTACATGAGCAACAGAATAGCAAAGGGGGCATCGAAAAGCACCGCCAATGAAACTGGATAACGTGAAGCTAACGTATACAGGCCGTTTTACACGCAAAATGACTTGCACCGTAGGGTCGTATACCGAAAATAGTTTTCATGTAGCTTCTATTGGAAACGCAAATGATTTTAATCCATATTCAAAATTAATGGAATTCATCTGAATTTCACATAAAATTTATACGATCACGTTAATTTTACATGATTCTTCATATGAATTTCGGCCTCAAAATATTCATGTGATTTTGTGGTGGGATTTGCTGCAATGTGATCACAGGAAAGCTATGTGAAATTTACATGTGATAAATTGTGAGGCCTTTGAATTTGAGTGTATACAAGCCATCATGCACGTCCCAAAAGTTTTCGTCGAAGGATGCATCATTTTGTTCACCCCGCCCGTCTGCTTCAACTTTCCAGCTAACCTAAAATTCTTTAAACATTTCATTGAACCCCGTCGATCAGGGGGAAGAGTTGTGTATGCAACTGCTCGACGAACCCCTCGAAGAAATGTGTGATATTGTTTGTCGTTCTTCAGGGTTCTCTTGCACGTCCCGTGCTGTCAATGATCACAGTCACAATTAGATCAGTTAAAGCAAGCGACGGCAAGGGCGCATTGGAAGAGCAAATCGCTCTTTTGGCTATTCCAATGCGAGAAAACACCGAAGTTGTAAGTACTGTAATAGGGGAAATGGATGTAATGTTGGCCTAAATGCCCCTAATTTGGACCCATACATAAATTCAGCAATCGACTAAATTTTTCAATAGCGACCAAAAATATCCATTAGTACCGACCCAATGACGCGTTCACCTACACACTTAGAAAAAATGGTGTAAATTTAGATGCTTTGAGACTGACATATACGAGCGTCAATTTTGACATAAAATTGAGCCGCGAAATTCAACTCAATCAAACTTTCGAACTTTTCAGTCTCGGAGCACTTAATTTTACATGACATCTTTGTTCACGTCTCATCCTTTATGTAAGATGTAAGATTAGGTGTTTCTAAGTGTGTGGATACCAAAATGGCGGTGGGCATCGATTTTCAGCCTATACTCGTCATCCCAGTTCCAAAAGGACGTTGACAGTTTTCTGAAACCAACGGCCACTATTTTGGATTTAAAAACGGCAACGAACATCGAATTCAACATCTACATGTCATCCCGACTCCAAAAATGTCCTGATTGTACACAGTTCGAAAAAGTAGTGTAAATTTCTGTTCAATATGATGCACATAAATGGAGCGTCACATATCATAAATGTTTACATTATATATCATGTTAAGTTCTCACACATTTCATGCAATGTAGCAAATATTGTATACAAAAGCCCATCTTTCTAAACAACATTGTTTGCGAGTTGCTCGGTTGCGTGAAATGAAACACAAGTCTACGTTAATGAAGGTTTACATCACAATTAAAATTCAGATTTTTTATCTGTGTATGGTATTTGACCTCCAGAACAACTTTGCCGAAGCCAGTAAGTTCCTAGATTTCGAGATACATTACTCAGTGATTGTTAACATATCAGTGGATTATCGTTTTTGTTGCTGATCATGATGTGTAACACAACTCATAATCCATAATCTCATATATGGTTCCGTTTACTAGTGTTTTTATCGCCGGTTAGCATCAGAAGATAGGATTTGCTTTCCAAGTGATAGAATTTTGAGCTATTTTGTGATTTCGTTGGACATATTCCAGCCATTTTTCATAACGGTAGTACCAAATTAAACAACAAAGTAAACTGATTCGTTTACAAGAATGTATCATTAAATTTACAATAAAATTTTCCACATTGTTGCTCTTATAACAGCAATTTGGTAATATGAAACAAGGGCTTTAAATATTGTTTCTGTTCCTATTGTCTAACTGGCGACGAAAAATATGATATTATAACTTTTTTCAGGGGGTGGGAGCGAATGCCTCAGATTTATTTTTCTCAATATTTTCCATATTAAATGAATAAGAAAAAAGTAACACATAGGAAAAAAAACGTTTAAATAGACCCATATTTTGTAGGAAAAACTGCCCCCGATGTACATATCATTTTTAGTTGGGAATGGTGAGGGTTTCAGAAATAACATCTATGTTTGTTTTAAAGTTATTCTAAGAAAGCTATATTTCCTCCAGTGTATACTATACTTCATTTATCTCATAGTAGTAACTGAAATCTACATTAATCAATAACCATTCTTCTTCCAGAACTCCCCAGGACAGCTGCACCTACCTAACGGACAACTTCCGCTCTCGGTGTGTTCAAATCTACAACTACCACCGACTTCTCAGCTGGGATTCGGCTAGAGGCCTGCACGTGGACATTTTCAAGGTACCAACATGTTGTTCTTGTCACATCGATGGCTACCGGGAGGTCTTCCCGCCATTCAACGGCGGCAACGAGTACGATTCCAAGAGTGATTCCTACGAAGATCCCAGCGCCGCTGCCAGCAATCCTCAGGTGAAAGCCTCCCAGTACAGTACCCTCAAGTTTGACAACGATGAACCGGAAAATGTCGAAGACAACATTGCATACCACTTCGCCAACGGATTCCAACGGATGAAACCACCAAAGTATGACAACGGAATGTTGATCCCACCGAGTCCACCAACTCACCAACAGTTCACCAAAAACCGTTTCGAGCGCCCAAAGTTGGTTCCACCGAAGAAACAGAACCTGGCCCATTTCATTCCACCACCGGTCCTTGACACCTACCTGAGCCCACCGCCGAACGAAGTAAGCTACCATACTCCGTTCAAGCGAGGACCGCATTTCACCAATGACAACACCCTCAAGCGGACGGTGCAGGTCCAACCCACTCGCAATCGACTCCCCATTCGCAAGCAAATCAATGTCGATCAGAACATCGCCGAAACTGACATCCGAATCAATCAAGTTCAAGTAATGCCTCCAAACAAACAGGACCGACTTCCACCAACCCAAGCCACAGAGAAACTCCGCAAACGATACACCACTACCCCACAGACCCCAACGCACAAAAAGGAGAAAACCCCACATTACCAAACCCGACCCAAACCACACTCGGTGAAATCAACTCCAATCATCCCGGTTACATCGCCACCATCAACCACATCGACCGCGGCTACCACCAACGGTCATCAACGAATCAACTACAACTACCATCCCATCATCGACTTTTTCGAAGACGAGGAAGCTCCGGAACTTCCGGAACAAATCGATCGCATCGGTTTGAATAGCAGAAATGGTGGCGACAGTGGATCTTCGATGAACAGTTGGAAACCGCTACTGCACAACAGTCAACCGCGACCCATGAGGATACCGATCTGAACCGGTGCCACCCCCTTCCATTTCCCTTCTCTCTCTAGATTAGCATAATAACTTATTGAAACTCACCACAATTCAGCGCTGTTGTGGTGAACGAAGTTTCGAGACTTGAAAAGCTTGAAAGCTTACGGAATACTCTCTTCCTCTTCTCACTCGTGACTCACTGGTGGCGAATGAGGTGATTTCAACGATCACTAAGCCGAGGAACTTGCTTTGCTCACTTTTTTTCTCTGTTTCTTCTTTGGGATGAACAAAGGAAGAAATTTCCGAGCTTTACACAGTTCCCAACAGCAATATGCCTACGTACTGATACTCTGAGCTCTAAGCCAGTGTGAAACGTTTCAAGCGTTTCTATTTCTTTCCCTTTTCTGGGGTTGAACGTCGTCAGCCTTAAGTTATGTACCTTTATCTTGTAGATGAATTTGTTGCTCAAACTTTTCATACCTATTTACGAATGCATACATCTGTGTTCCGATATAGTTTTGTAAGGATAAGAACTAGTGTTTAAAAATAAATTTAAATTTTATTTATTAACCGATGAATCGTGACCCGTGGATAACGACCAGATTTTTGCGTTGTTTTATTGAATAGATTGAAAACCGAAATGTAGTTGATTGAATGGAGAAATACATTCGCTGTGATTCTAGCCGGGGAGGTGTTTAATCAGTAAGAAATTGTCCGAAATGCCTGCATGTTATTTTGAATGCGATGGGAATTGCCGGGGTTAGCTAGGGAAAGTATTTAATTTTATTTATTTTTTAAACAGCAAGGTTAGGTGAAATGTCACATGTCACATGTCAAATGTCAAAACATATATGTATAGAACAAAACTAAATGTTTCAACAATTATATGAAAGCTCATTTAGTAACACAATAGAAAAAAATTACAGGATTTTCACGAAAAGTTACACGGAAAATATTCCTTTAAGATGAAAAATTATTTCTTACGTTCTTAACTTGCATCCATTGAGCAAAACAAAGTCAATCGTGGATATATGAATTTATTCTAGAGAACAATTAGAAGAACACAGGACATCAGGAGGTATGGAAAAGAATCAAACATCAGGAGTATTGAACTACTTATATTGGGACTACACCAGCAGAAAATAATTAGATTGTAAAGATAACTGTTCAGTTTGATTACAATCATTGCGGAAAATCACTATTTGTATGAGGATTTTGTTATTATTCAAGTGATAATATTTGCACAAAAATGTATAGCTTCTTCATCTCTTACACACCAGGAAGGAGCATTTAAAGATTTTCAGTAATAAATTTCTCAAAAATTGTCTTCAGATTTGTGATCATTTGTGAAGTTGTCTGCATTCAAGTCCATAGCTACATGCTGCTATTAGGCTCGCTCAGATCGCCTGGACGATCCACCTCAGCCGTTGCGTGCCTCTTTGTCTAGTTCCAGCTGGATAATTTTCGAGAATAATTTAAACTGGATTGTCATCCGACATTCTTACGAAAAACTCAGTCCAACGCAGTCGATTTTTCAGCTGCGCACTGATTTGAAAAGCCATATTCGGGAACTTTTTCATTTGCTCTTTTGATAATGAATTTCTCTCTGGGTCTCTATCAAACAAATACCACATATAACCCGATTGGTAGCATTATTCCATGAATAGTTTGTTTGATACACCCAACCAGTGCTGCGGTTTGTCATTGTCATTGACAGACTTTCACGCGATATTGACAAAATTATTCGTCACATAGTCACTGACAGCCTTGATCCTCCAAAAAAATCTTCGTCAAAATCTCATTCATTTTTTCGTCAATGACAAAGATTCGCCTAGTAACAAAAAGTGTAATTTCAAATTTTCTGTGTCACATTATTGTTATCTAAGCAGTTCAGGACGTAGATGCTTGTTCACATAAACGGATCCATGTAATTGGGCTGCTCAAGTGATTTAATTTAATTTCAAATTTAGTTAATTAAAAACTCTACCATGTTTGTCACTAACAGTATTGTCATTGACAATTGACATGGTTTGCCTTGACTGTGACTGTTAGCTCAAATGAGTGACCAAAGCAGAATTGTCAATATCACCGTGCATTGTCGAGACTTTGCAGCACAGTACCCAACACGAAATTAGGCACGTTTTATGGCACATTTTTTTTATTTGGGTGTTTTTGCAAAAGGTTTTGTAAATGACAAGATCAATTGATTGGTAGTTTAAATCTACACCAGAGGCAGTGCTGCCAAATCAAACAATTAGTGTTGTCACACACTTGCAAATTTTAATTTCTATAATAGGGTAAATGACGGCATCGGCATCTCACAGGATTTGGCATCGAAACACTTAGCTGTATATATCCAAACGATTCATAGTCTTAGAATAAACCTTTAAAAGCATCAATTGTGCCTTTTTATAAAGATGAAAAGTATCATATTTTTTATGGATGGAAGTTAAATATTTTGGAGTATTTTCGGATAGTAAGCTCTATTGGAATGCACACCTAGAGCAAGGAGTAAATAGAGCAATCTTTGCTCATTTGATTAGTATAATATGTACTCACATCGAAAATGTTGCAATTGATTCATTCGGCCATAGTTAAACCAACAATAACTAAAATATTCCACTAAGTTGTTGGTCAGAGATATAAAACATCAAAATACAACTTAATAGAGGAAAAGACGAACCAGCTAAAGGCTGAAAGTTTCTATAATAAAGCAAAAAAATAAACTTAATAGAGGTTTGGTAAATTACAAATGCTCACCTTTTCCTACACAACCAGCGTAATGTGTAGTACTCTCTCTAGACTTAGACTTCTAAGAACCTCTACTTAATATTCTGCTTTTACATCAATTCATTCAATTGAATCAAATGAAAAATGCTCCTAGACTCATACGAACCAAAGAGCTTCTTGGAGAAGGTCTAAGAATCCATCTGAGTATTTTAAAAGTGATTCAGTTCAGTCAATTAATATACAAAAAAAAAGACGTGAATATTGTAGTGTGTTTGTCAACGATTGGGATATTGTGGGACCAAGAATCCATCTTGGATCAATAATATTACATACAGATGGCTAAAAACATTAGAATAGGACAGGGAAAGGTATAACTGGTCCGGGAATCAACTGGCAAATACTCTAAAGTATTTCAAGCAAAATGATTTGTTATGGTAGAGTGTGTGGAAATTTGCTCAGAAAGAAATTAATTCATCGCAAACGGAGCCGTGACGGTCATTCCACCGAATTTTAATAATGATCTTTAAAAAAATAACATCATCATCCCAACAAGCAATGCAGCATTAGCATTAGCATCGAGCAAGTTGCACAACATCGTAGGTGGTACGAATTCAAAACTATCAAGAGCAAGACGGATATCTATTACTGGACAGATAGTAGGAAGGAAATAATTACTATCTCCCAGATAAAGACATATCCCGCTCCAGCAGTTAAGGATTGTCTTTACAACTGGTAGGGATAGGAAAGGTATGTTAGTCCAATATTTACTTAAGAGAGATGCACGACCCCTAATAAATGTCTCGGGAATTTAGGAATTATGTCCGTAGGGAAGGTAAGCCATAGGATACACCCAGTCAGTGTTGCTGGAAGAAAACGTTGCTGAAATAAAATGAAGATATAACATGGCGAACTTACCATCGCTGTCACACCCGTAGCTAAATAAAAAGAAGGAATTATGTTGTGTTTTTTTATTGATTGAGGGGAAAACCCGCGGGAGTGGAAATAATGTTACTACCTCTTCTCCCATAGGCACAAAACCTCTATGTCTTTTCAACTTGAATCATAATCAATTACAAAATTCAACAATAGATCATTATTCAAATGGAAGCAATAATGTTAACAGATTATAATATGTCATCTATTAAATGGTACATAAAATGTTAACAATGGAAAGGTCTCACCATATAAATTCAAAGTTTTCAGTAATTTTTCCAGTTGGTTGCAAGCTAGTGGTATTGGAACGATCGTGGCAGCTAAATACTCCTTTGAACAGGTGACGAATCATCTCAAGGATTATTTCTGACGTACCACTTTTACTTCATATCATACACAGAACATCATCTGCCGCACAACAAGAATATTCTCCGACTTTTCCGTTCCCGCAGGAGAAAATACTTAACTTTCGATGGAATCAAAAAAAAAAACGTCATAGATCAAATCAGCGGAATACCGTTTATCGCACCTTACAGCGCGTAAATAAACTGAAATTAAAAATTATCGCTCGCAATGCCACAAATTTCTGGTTCGGGAGAAAAAAAAAAATCAAACAACGCAGATAGCTACATCTCTTCTGATGCATGCAAACATGATGAATCACGTTTTCTTTCTCGATTCTAAAACTTCCCGGAAAGCGAGAAAACCGCTAATCACACACGTATAACCGTCTGGGAGGCAGAGTGTCAGCGCTAATCAGACAAATGCAGCCGAAATGTATGAAAGCAAACACACGCACAAAACAAAGAGCAAACTTAAAACACAACCGTATCCAAAGGGGTCCGAAACTGCACTCTCATCCCAACAAGCAATCCAGCGCCGCAAAAAAAATCACATCCGTCGAATAAATGCTGAATAACAGTATGTATTACTGATCAAAATGGGGTGTCAACTTGTAAACTGGATATTTGTCTAATAATTAACTGAATATCAATTCATTGCAACAAAATTTACTCTTTTATTCGGCTTTTTTCGTTTGACTGAAAAATTTGCATATTAGCTGTCTAATAAATGCTTTCTAGCTCCATGGTTTCATTACATTAGATTACTTCACAATGTGCTGAATAATGATAATTATAGCCAACTTATAAGTTCCTATGTGTTCATATTTTTATACCAGTAAAAGTGGGGGCGACCCCGACGTAGTGGTTAACATCCTTACCTCTCACGCCAAAGTCACGAGTTCAAATCACACCCCGGACAAGTCACGAATGACCCAAGAGTGTTAAAGTGACTATAATAAAAAAAAAAAAAAAAAAAAAAAAAAACCAGTAAAAGTTTTATATATGTTGCAAAAATTCATTATTTCACATAACTGGATCAACTTAACAATAAGACCACTTGGCTAGCCGTTTCTACGTAGTGACCAAAAGGTCGTGAGTTACATATCAGACACGATCCCTTCTATATTTTTGTCACAATGCCTAACTCTATCCCCATTCAATTCTGTAGACGAGCACGGTCGCGCGCGGACAACGACTAA